TTGTGAAAGCCCAGAATTTGAATAATGCACTAAATGAAGTGGAGTGCATATATTTAAATATTTATGGACAAATGGCTGTCATTTCTTAGCCTGCTCTGCCATGGTCCCATGACTTGGTACAATTGCTTTTAAATGATCATTTTCTAGATACTAGAAAAGCATCAAACAGAAGGAGATGAGAATTGCAGCAAACCAAACAAAGAAAAAGCAGAGGAGGCGATTATAAACAAAATACAGCCATCATAGCCAACTATATTTAAGGAGTTTTGAAAGCAGTGTAGTGTAGCAAGTAAGATGGATGAGTTTGGAACTGGACCGGAATTTAAATTCTATGTGTGATTTACTAGCTTTGTAGCCTTGGGTAAGTTACTCATCTTCTCTTGAAACCTCAATTCCTCATCTGTTTAGGGGGGATAATAATAGTACCCACATCACAGGGGTGTGGTGAGAATTAAATGAATTATTGGTTCTAGGTACCTGACACCCATAAGCTCTACCAGAGATCTGACACCCAGATCTCCAAGCTCAGGAACTTTGTTTTAGGGACTGAGACTATGTCAGGGAACAAAAAGCATGGTAGGTGCTCCATAAATACTGGCTGAATAACTGAATGAATGAATGTGTTTAGTCCAGTTTGAGTGTATAAATTGGATTATTTTATGAAATAAATTTAAAATGTTCATTTTAAACAAGGTAAGGTATAGGGAAAGACATACTGGGTGAAAATTTTGAGTGTGGCAAAGGTATATTTTTCAAATAAGTAGCCAGGAAAATGTTTGTCCTCTTATTTCTCATCAGGGACACAGAGTTTGGTTCCACTTGCTTCTCTGTGATCAAATGAATTGGGGGAGAATTTTTGTAACATTCTCCACAGCCTCCTCCTTTGCTCTCCTGAGCATAATGTTAAGAGATGCTGTAGGAGACAGACAAGCACATATTTACACTATTGATTATAAACACTGTTTTCTGCCATTTCCTTCCACATCATGACAGCTTAATTTCCCCCTTGTGACAGAAAGTAGGGGCTCGGAGGTTCCAGGTCCCAGAGTCTAACTGCATCGCTGTCCTCCCATTTGTAAGCAGGCCCCACCGAGGTCTCTTCTCAATGCTCTTGCCAAACTGAGGGCTGTTGGCTCTGCCCTGGGCTGTGGGCAGCATCTCCCTCTGCTCCCGGTGATCCAAGCCCTGGCACTGAGGGCATGGAAAGGGGTTGACGTTCTCTGCCTAGCCCTAGCCCCAAGTCATTTATCAGACACAATGATGAGCAAAATGCTGCCATTGGAGGAAGATGTACAAATTTGCCAAGGAAAGGAATGCAGTTCTGGGACCGCCTCGCTACAGGATTATGTAAATCATTCAGCAAAAGTGAAGTCAAAGTTATGAAAGTCAATTTCCATTTGTACCACAGCTAATTAGTCTAAGGAAAATGGTGACAGGATATTCAGCAACTTCTCAGGAGGTAGCCCTGGAAGGCAGGTCCAAAGGGAGAGTTTTAAACGTGCCTTTAAGGTGTTACATGCAGGCAGCGAATAGTTCTTGGTTTGTATCCGACATTATTCTAAGTGCTTGAGACTCACTCACATGAGGTCATTATTTTTTATTATTCCCTTTTTACAATGAGGAAACCGAGGCATAGAGAAGTTAAATAATTTGTTCAACTTTTAATGCTTGATTCTACATGTAAGGAAACTGAAGTGTGGGAAAACATAGAGCTCGTTCACTCAGCTGACGAGCAGGAATTCCCCCCTCAGTGTATGTGCACGAGGACCATTGCATCTTTTCCTCTGGGAGTGGGTTCCAGCCCCTTTTTACAGATGAAGCCTTCCTGCCAGGGGTTAGGGAGAGACGTTCCAGCTGCTGCCCCTTGCCATCTCGAAAGCCTGAAATTTGGGATGTCAGGACCTCAAATGGAGTCCCAGGAGAGGTTGAGTTATTTCTCATAAATTGCTTATTTAGGGGCAATAAAACAGTGTGGTTAATGAGTACATAAAAATGATTTTCTTTGAATTTGTCAAAGTTATATATATATATATATATATTATGCTAATGTAATAATTTAATTATTTCATGTGGGCCAGACACTTTTCATGGCAATTATGCATTCTTAATTTTTATAATAGGTATCTTCTACCTACAGTTTAAAATATTTTTTAATTTATTGATTTTAGAGAAAGAGAGGAAGACAGAGAGAGAAGGAGAGAGAGAGAGAGATTTGTTGTTCCACTCATTTATACATTCACTAGAGGCCCAGTGCACAAAATTCATGCACAGGTTGGGTCTCTAGCAGCTGCCAGCCATTGGCTTGGGGCTCCCTTCCTGTGGTTGGCCCACCAGCTCCACCCCTGGTTGAAATACCGGTCGAACTCCCGGTCCAGGGGACAATGTGCATATTAGGCTTTTATTATATAGGATTGGTTGCTTCTTGTATGGGCCCTGACCAGAGGTCAAACCCACAGCCTTAGCATATTGGGACAATGTTCTAACCAACTGAGCTACCTTATCTTATAGTTTAGATAAATCCTTCTAAACATGGAACCTGGGGTTTGGAGTAGGGCAAGATAGAGATGAACCTTGAGGATGAAAAATTTAGCACCTAATGGTCTAGATTAAGAGAGATATGTTGGAAAAAACCAAGATGGCGGCATAGGTTAACGCTGGAGTTTGCTGCCTCGAACAACCACTTCAAAAATACAACTAAAAGACGGAACGGACATCATCCAGAACCACAGGAAGGCTGGCTGAGTGGAAGTTCTACAACTAGGAGGAACCGAGAATCAGAGGAGGCGCAGTGCTGAAGTAAAATACTACTATGCGGAGTGCGCGCGGCGCGGGCTGGTGGCTGAGGGCGCGGTTGTCTGTTTCAATCCGGAGGGAGCCTCAGACTCTGAGCCCCAGACCCGGGCGAGTCTC